CACCGAAGGCACATTTAAGGGGGTTCAACTTCATATGATACTTTCTTAGGATTTAGAAGCTATCATTCAAGTGGGCCATATGATCACCTGTTTTCAGGCTTTTAACGAGCATGTCATCCACATAAATCTCCATCATCTTGCCAAAGAGGTCGGCAAACATCTTGTTGACAATCCTTTAATAGGTGGCCTCGACATTCTTCAGACCGAAGGGCATCATCTTGTATCAATAGAGGCCCCTATCTGTGATGAATGAAGTGTTCTCTTCATCCACCAGGTACATGGAGATTTGATTGTAGCCGGAATAAGAGTCCATGAAGCTCAACAATTCATGTCTCACAGTGGAGTCTACAAGTTGATATATCCTGGGAAGGGGGAAGCTATCCTTGGGCAAGCCTTGTTTAGGTCGGAAAAGTTGATGCATACTCTCCATTTACCGATGTGCTTCTTTACTAGAACTAGGTTGGAAATCCATTTCGGGTATTGGGTCTCCCTGATGAAGCCATTCTTAATTAACTTCTGTACGTCTTCCTTCAGGGCCTTATATTGTTCCTGGTTAAGGGCTCTCCTCTTTTGTCTATGCGGGGCAACTTTAGGATCAATTTTCAAGCAGTGGCAGCTGACCTTGAGGTCAATGTCTACCATATCCTCATGCTTCCAAACAAAGACATCCCGATTTTCACATAGGAAGTTCTTGAGCTTTTCCTTAGTTTTTGACGTCAGGTTCCTTCCCACTTGTAACATCTTAGCAGGATCCAGGCGATCCACTAGGAAGCTCTCCAACTCCTCTACTGGAGCAGTTTGGGACTCAGTTTCAATAATGCGGGGGTTGATCTCGTCAAGCACATGCATTTCCTCGGGAACGTCTACCATTCCCACGTCGATTGTTAGCATGTTGACGTCCCTCGCTCATCTTTGGTCACCCTTTACCGTTGCCACTCCATGATCGGTAGGGAACTTCATGCACAAGTAGTGAATGGAGGTGACGGCTCCCAAATCTTTCAATGCAGGCCTTCCAAATACCCCATGGTAGGCTGACCTGCTATCAACTTTCAAAAATTCCATAAAGTTTAGAGTCGATAGGGTGGCTCCCCCATTTCTACTGTAAGTGTGATTTTACCCCTCAAAATTATGCTATCCCTGTGAAACCATATAGGGGGATGGCGATGGGGGTTAACTCGTGATCCAAAATCATCTTGTCAAAAGTAGTTCCAAAAAGGATGTTGAAGGAGCTCCCATTCTCCACCAACATCTGTTTCAGCCTATTTCGGGCCACCACGACCCTTACCACCAGGCGGCGTCGCAATGGGGAAGTGAACTCCTTCTGCATCTTCTTGAGTGAACACAATAGATGTGCCCGATTCCTTCGAGAAGTGCTGTTCATTATATAACTGGTAAACGGGGGGCCCTTAGCTTCTCTAGTATAATTTCTTTGAGAGTTCATTATCTCTCCACCAACGTAAGGGCCACCAAAGATTGTGTAAATCTCATGGATGGGGGTGTTCTCTGACCGGGTTTGGAGGCCTCTTCGATGTTCGTCCTTTAACCTTTCATCTTCGCGATCCCTCCACCGTCGAGGAGAAACGTCCCGATGGCAGGGAGTGGCCTCGTCACGCCTAGCCGGCTGGTCACGCCTAGGTGGGGGCTTATTTCTTTGTCGTGAGTCATTTTGTCGATCATTTCGGGGACTTGCCCGTCTGGGGTGGTGGATAATGTCTCTGCAGTTTGCTGTATCATGGCAGTAGGAATGATGATATGTGCAGTATTCTGGGGGGTTCGGTTTGCTTCTAGATCTCGAACCTCATCCCCTTTGGGGGCCTACTGTGACGGTTCAACTTATTGAATATTGGTTGCGAGTACGACGTTTTTGTAGGCCAAAGTAGGCACCATTTTTAAGGTGGCCGTGGCGAGTGCCTACCCCGAGTTGTGGCGATTTCTTTGCCAATCTGGTTCCATTGATGATCCATCAGGTGGGAGGTGGGGCCTCTCCTATGCTGCCTCCGTTGAGGCTGGAGGCCTTGACTAGCCCTATTTCTGTGGTCAATCAATTCTTCGTTGATAATCTCTCGCCTCATCATTTCTAGCAAGGCATCATATGTAGTCGAGTCCTGATTTTGAACGTCTCTCCAAAATAAGGTGTTCATATTTAGGCCTCTCCGTAATGCTGATAGAGCCTCTCAATCGGTAACCTGAACACAATACGTCATTTCATCGGTGAAACGGGATAGGAAACTCTTCAAAGTTTTTCCCAGATTGTTGTCTCATGTCTTGGAGATGCTGAATGGGGGCCTCTCCTTCTTTGCTAACAACGAACCCTTTCAGGAAGGTATTCTTGAATTCTGGCCACCTCCGAATGCTCCTAGGTGGTAACCTACTATACCAAATTTTAGCTGCTCCACTGAGAGTCAAGTGAAAAGCTTTGCATTTCACGGTTGGGGTGGCACCTCTCAAGCTCATGTGTGTTTTATAATTGTTCAAGTGTTTAGCTGGGTCACCTCTCCCATCGTACTTCGGTATTTTAGGCATCACGTAGTGGTTAGGCACCTGGACATTCCTTAACTCCCGTGAGAAATGCAGATTCTCATCATCGTCGTCCAAGTCGAAAGATCGCTGAGGTCCATCAGAATCATAATTTTCATCTGCCTTATACCTGGGTGGGGGAGCAGAAGGGCCTGCTTGGTCCCCAGCCTCATCATCCCTCCATTGATGCCTATTTCTTGGCGGGACAACATGGGGGGCCTATTCTTGCCTTTCCTCTGGTTGCCAAGTTTCAGGCGATGGGGGCCGAGGCTCGTTCCTAAGCACCGAAATTTCATATTGCTGAGGTTTCCTAGGCCTACAGGGTTGATTCGATCAAACACACTAATAGACTTCTGAGGCCTAGCTTCAGGCTTGTGTTCCGGAGGGAAGTTATCCTCCATATTGAATGGGGCCTCGGTGGGTCGGCCAGATGCGTAATTGGAAGAAATGTCAACCTCCACTTCTCTTTTTTGAAGGCTTATCTCCTTGGTGCGCTTAGGAGGACGTTCTCTCTGACTTTGTACCTCATCTTCTCGCTGGTACTGCCCCTGACATGCGTAAGAAAGGATTGGATGGTTCCTTGGCTTTGCATTTGTCTTAATAACTCTTGCATCACCAAATTTTAGTTGGTAATGCTCCTCACGTTGGCTTCCATGGTGGATATTTCCCTGGTGAGTTGTGCGACCATCCTCATCCCACCTTGTCTGTGACGATGGTGGGGTCGATGCCGACACGCCGGGGTGGCTGTGATGGGGATTTCGTCCTCGCTTTCCCTCACACGCCTGGGAGGGGCGTCTCCATCTGAGCTCATCTCTTTTCAAGTTTACACCTGAGTCGTTTTCTAGCTCTGGGGGCTTCCTCTTGTTCTTTTTCAAGAACAAATCATTTTTCAATGGGATGCCCGAACTATCTTTTCAGAAAGCTTTTTCCATGGGGTTGCTCGCGGTTATAGTGTGGTTTTCCACATACGATGCCAATTTGTTGACCTCAAAATGTGCTGCCAATAGATGCCGGACCCACTCGTGCAGCGTAAGCTAGATCCAACGCGTAAAGGCGGATCAACGGCGGAGATCACTTTAAGATTGGACGTGGGAGAAGCTCAACGACACGAGACGTTTCCGTTCAGGTTCCGACAAGATATCCGGGATACGATTGTTCAATAATAACCAATCACAATGAACTCAAATTTAAGATTGTAAATGAATGTAAGATAATAAAACCAATTGCTCCAATTATTTAAAGTTGCATTAGTATTCAATTGTTACATGTTAGGGGTATTTATAGTATTACAAACAGAATGGTGACCCTCAGATGGTTATACGTGGCCTCATCTTCTCGACCGAGACATCAAATTCTAGCCATCAAATTGACTTTTCTAGATCTGCAAGTCATTTAATGTTCTTACACCATATTGACAAGACTAGACACAAATACATTTTTTACAGACGTTACATCAATCACTCAAACAAGATCTCTATAATAAATTCAAGATCTCTGCACCTGGGCCGTCACTAATTGTAGTGGAGCCTCGAACTTGCTGGGCCTCGGATATGGGCCTACTTTGCACGTCTACCTCGAATTAATAGTGCCTCAGAAATTACCATCTGGGCCACGTCTTCTATGATTGGTGGTTCGGCAAGCATGGGTCTACAATTTCACTGGGCTGGCCACGTGGCAAATGTTAGTACCAAGTAATCACAATGTGTAATATTATTTTATTAAAAAATGCGTAATTGAAAAGAATAAAGAGAAAAATGTGTTATAATTTTATTGGGGCCAGACCAAAACTATGATTCGAATTAATCTATGATGATTAATCTAATCTATAATGATTAATCTGTGTAAGACACCAGCTCCACAAAATGCCATAATTTCTTACTGTCGTTAAATCTCCACCCTTCCTTCCTTATCACACACTACCATCTCTCTCTATCTTCTCTCTCTTCCTCTCTGTCTGTGACCGCAAGTTGAGTTGAGTGCTTGAATTCATCTTCTTTAATGGTGCACCTGTTTTCACTTTAAACCATTATCACTAGAAACCTTAAATTCTACTAGAACGTACATCCAATATCTACTCAAGGTACTATCTTTTTGTTACTTGGCGCTGCTAGTTGCTTTCTTTATTGGATATTTAATGCTACATTAAAAAAACCCTTCTCTATCTATACGTTCTTCAATTCTCACCTGTCAGAATCTCGTGCTGTGTTATCTGGTAATTCTCATGCTTCCAATGCTATTCTAATTTCTAGTGCTTGCGAAAATTCCGACAAGAACTCGATGAAATAGTTTTTAGAGTTTTCTAAGAAGTACAATTCATCGACTCGGGATTGAATAGCACGAGACAGTATTCAGTTTAGTACTTGTTGGGATTAAACATCTACTTGTGTTTGTTCGATTGATTTAATAATTATATGTATATGGTTTGATTACACTTGGAGAATCATTTGAACTTTCAGATTAACTAGTCGAGCTCGAAGCTGCAAATGGCACACAAGAATGGTCGTGGCAAGACTAAAGGCGACAAGAAGAAGAAAGAAGAAAAGGGTATTTATTTAATTCATTTTTATTAACAATCTACTTTCAATTATTGCCTTTTTTGGGGTTAAATTTGGTAATAATAATAATATAACTTTTATGCTTACTTCGCAGTTCTCCCCGTTGTGATGGATATAAAAGTTAACCTTCCGGACGAGACCCATGTTGTTCTAAAGGTTCGTGACAATTCAAGTTCTCTATTTCAAAGAGAATGGTGCATTCATTTGCAAATAACATATCCATTTTTTTAAATCGATGTGCACGATAAGTGTATTGGAAGTATCCGGAGTTTAGCTATGACCCACCAATTGATTTTGCGTAAAGGGATTTTTAAATGTTGCGTAAATGAGTTATATTCATGACACAGAAATAGAGACTAGTCGAATACAATAGAACTTAACCTTAAAGTTAAGTGACGTTGAAGTTGGTACTATGTAATTTGTAACATGTAATTGGGATTTTTTTTTTTAACGTCTTTTTTAACATATTTATACTTATTCACATTTTTGGACAGGGAATATCTACGGATAGAATTATGGATGTTCGTCGATTACTATCCGTGAACACAATGACTTGTCACCTTACCAATTTTTCGTTATCGCACGAGGTAAGAGCTGTATTTACCTTTCCATATAAAGAAACATTGTTTGCATTCCTAATATGGTTAGGGCAATATTGTAATTATGTCAATATCATCATTTCCGATCTGACCCTGTGCTCGTCCGTAGGTGAGGGGCCTACGATTGAAAGACACGATAGACGTCGCCGCACTAAAGCCCTGCCTTCTCACTCTCGTAGAAGGTAAAAGGAAAAAGGAAACTATAAAATAATATTCTATTATACGACGTCGTTATATTCCTTTCCACAAACTTCTGCGACAAATTGCAGACTTGGTCCTCAACTTTTATGTTCTTGTGTTGATCCTCAAAATTTAATTATATTTGACTACAGACAATGAGCATGTCCGAGTCCCATTTTTTTTTTTCCAAAATACATTTTAAAATAGTGATTTGATGGAGAATGTATGATTAAAAAATATTTTTTTAGATTTATTTGTAATATCATTTTATTGAAAAATGTGTAGTTGAAAATATGATAAATAAAATGTATTTTGGAAATAACGAGAACCAAACTAGGGCAGTATAAAACTAATCTTTATTATCTCCCTGTTTGATAGAAATTATAATCCAAATTTTAATATCACATTTTAGGAGATTCACAACTTTTCAATCACATATTTTATCAATTTTTATCCAAATGTACTAAAAATTAGATTTTAATTCCCACCAAACAGGGAATAATATTTCAAAAAAAAAAAAAACTTTATTTCAAATTGGTAGACATGGTTAAAATTAGGAAACAGCATTTAACTTTATACATTTGGAAGTATGAATATAAGTTAATTAATTTTTAAACGTTTATGACGTGACGATGATTGTAATTATAATAAAATGTTGCTGAAATAATTTTCTCATTTTCAAATATTAGGAACGAACTTGCTACTTAAACAAAGTTGGGGACCAATAGTGAAATATTTCGTAAAATGTTCGGAGTGATTGAAATCTCTGTTTTACCCTCAAAACTTTTGATTCTGCTCGTGTTATAACAGAGGATTACGATGAAGGGAGCGCCACGGCGCACATAAGGAAGCTGCTGGACATTGTCGCTTGCACGACATCGTTAGGTCCGTCGGCGAACAAGGACTCCTGCTCCAAGAGCGATGGGAGTAAGAATGCGCGGGATGCGCAGGATACCAAGGGCTCGAAGAAATCAAACAAGTCACCCCATGCAAACGCCAAGGACAAACTGTCTCCTTCGCCACCGTCTACACCATCATCTCCGACGCCTCAACAACCACCGCAGGATTACTCCTCCAAGACGGCGCCTGCCAAAGATGGATCGTCGGCGGCTGTTGATGGAGAGGGAGAGATGAGTAACACTTGTCCTAAGCTCAGCAGCTTCTACGAATTCTTTTCTCTCTCTCATCTCACGCCTCCGATTCAATGTATGTCTCTCTTGCTCTCACACTGTTGAAAACACAATTAAATGAACATAATGTGCACTTTTTCGGTTAGTTTTTGTTTCTTTTTCGTGTATTACCAAATTTAGAAAAATATGAATACAGGCACTTGAATTGCACGATCTTTAATTAATAATTTAATACACGGTTAAATAAAAATGGAAGAGATGTGAATTATAGGTGGTAACATAGTTTAGTATTAAACATTATTAGTGAATTGCTTGGGAGACCCGAGGCAATAAATAATATTAAATTAAAATTTTAGAGCAACATTCTTCAGTCATTATTCAAGGGATTAAATGATAGTTTAGAGATTTGGTTTTTTAAATTCAAGCTGTTTGTTTAATGCCAAGAGTCAGAGTGTAAGAGAAAGGTCTTGAAAGAACCAATCCTGAATGTTCTGAGCGCCAATGAGAAAAAATTGACACCATGTCCACTAAAGGTTGATCCTAGAAGGAAAGAAGAATGAATTTGAAATATTTAAAGATATCTAAGATTTGAGGTTTATAAACTGAAATATTTTTTTTACCTTTTCCGTTATCTATACTTTGATGCAATTTATATTCCTGTTCGACATGAGAGTTATTATTTGGTGCACCATGATTATACAGTTATAAGGAGGGCAATAAGACAACCAGATGATGATGTTTTAGCTGCCGGTCATCTTCTCTCTCTTGAAGTAACGCATCTAAAACTCATTAAAAGCTAATGTCCTAGTTATGCAACTAGAAGTTGAACTAAATAGATGCCGTAAATGTTTACAGGTAAAACTTTGCAATGGGAAGTTGATTGCTGTTGAGGCTTGCAGAAAAGGTTTTTATAGCATTGGAAAGCATCAGATTCTTTGTCACACTCTTGTTGATCTTTTGAGACAACTCAGTAGAGCTTTTGAAAATGTTAGTTCCTCATACTTGAAAGCATGGGCCATGGAATAAGCTTGAATATCTTTCCTAAATTGTAGTCAGATCTTCTTAGATTTAGTTGAGTCCCATCTGTTTGAACCACTACTAAGGAGTGGCATTGAATTCTTGCTATGTATTTAGACATTTACAATAAAGCTATGATTCATGTTTCCAATTTGGTTGCTAGAATTTTTGTGATGATTTTCTCTTATGTACTTCATGCTTTCTCTAGAGTAAATGTATTGGGTTCATGTCTGAAAAGCGTTGACATATGTTGAATTCCGTCATTTGTATGTGTTAAGAATTTGAGTTCTATCTCAAAAGGTCAACCTTATTAAGAGGAGCGATCTAATCCTTTATAAGTTGATTTATGTTTACATCTTTAGTCGATGTGAGATTCTATCCCTTAACAAGTCCCCACAAGATGGTGGCTCGTTTGAGTAGACCAATCTTGAAATCCGTATGCTCACTTTTGGAGTTTTAACCGGATCGAATTGTTCGTTAGAGGTTAATGGGCTCTGATACCATGTTAAGAATTTGGGTTCCATCTTAAAAGATCAACCTTATTAAGAGGAATAATCCAAATTCTTAACAGTATGACTTTTGTGGTTGGAAGTGATTTTGAATGTCTGACACGTCTTAAGCTCTCCTTTCCAGGCATATGATGATCTCATGAACGCATTCTCGGAGAGGAACAAGGTGGATAATAATTTTTCTGGACTTTATTTGCTTATTATGTTGCATGATGTAATGGGACATCATTTTGGTGCACCAGAATTTTTCCTCTCTGAAATTTTAATAATATTTGTCTTGACGCAGTTTGGAAATCTCCCATGTGGCTTTAGAGCTAACACATGGCTTATACCCCCTGTAGCTACACAATCACCACCTGTCTTTCCTCCTCTCCCTGCGGAGGATGAAAAATGGGGAGGAAATGGAGGTGGTCTAGGAAGAGATGGCAAAAGTGATTTGATACCTTACGCTCATGAACTTTTGTCTCTAGCATCTATGCCATGCAAAACAGTAGAGGAAAGGCAGGTTCGAGATAGAAAAGCTTTTCTTCTCCACAGTTTGTTTGTCGATGTTGCTATTTTTAGAGGCATTTCAGCTGTCCGACATGTGATGGGAAAACCAGAATTAGCTCATTCTGGTGCAAACGGAGAAATAATTTATACGGAGAGAGTAGGGGACTTGAGGATAACTGTCATCAAAGATGCTTCCAATGCTAGCTGCAAAGTAGATACTAAGATTGATGGAAAACAGGCAACTGGAGTAAATACCAAAAGATTAATCGAAAGAAACCTACTAAAGGGGATAACTGCTGATGAAAACACTGCTGCCCATGTAAGGATGTGGTGGATATGATTTAAACAACGATGTCTTTCAACAACTTCTGCTCTTATTTATGTTTTGTCACACTTCTTTTTAAGAAATTTATACATGTTGATGGCAGGATGTTGCCACCCTAGGTATTGTAAACATGAGGTATTGTGGTTATATTGCTACTGTGCAAGTACTGGAGATTGAAAATGCGAATGTGGGCCATCCAATGGAAAGCCTTGAGCTTCTTGATCAGCCTGATGGTGGTGCTAATGCCCTCAATATTAACAGGTTTTTGCTAATTTACCCAATAGAGTCTGCTTATTAGTAAATTAACTTTGTAGTACTCAATATATCTTCCTGCTATTTGCTTGTGTTTCTTGTTGATCTCTTTTTCGTATGTAATTTTGTTTCGAGTAACTCATTGAATATGTAAGTGTTATGACCTTGTTTCTTGCAGTTTGAGGTTTCTTTTTCATGAAAATAATACTGCGGATCAAAATAAACCAATGTCACATTCACGAACAATAGAGTGTGAAGAACGTAGTTCTTCCCAAGCTTTTGTAGAGATATTGCTGGAAGACAGCCTTATGAAGCTTCAGAAAGAGGAAACTGAGGAGGACACTTTTGTGAGATGGGAACTTGGAGCGTGCTGGATACAGCATTTACAAGATCAGATAAAAACAGAAAAAGATAAGAAACCATCTAGTGAGAAGACCAAAAAAGAGATGAAAGTTGAAGGACTTGGAACATCACTCAAATCCCTTAAAAATAAAAAGAAGAATTCAGACAAAAATATTACAGAAATCCATTCTGAAAACTTAAAGAGTGTTGAAGAATTTGTAGATGAGGAGGCTGAAAAAGCTGTGACAAATTTGACAAAATCTTTGATGGATACTGGTGCCCACGAAAACGAGCTTGTGCTAAAGAAGTTATTATCTAAGAGTGCTTTCACTAGGTTAAAAGAGTCAGAGACTGGACTTCATCTCAAGGTAGTAAAGTTTACAAGTATTTGGAGTATAATACTTCAATTAAATGAGATATACTAACCTTCACTCGTGTTATTGATAGTCAATGCAAGAGCTAATTGACTTGTCTCAAAAATATTACAAAGAAGTCGCTCTTCCAAAACTGGTACTACCTATTGTATCCTTCTACACAAATTTATAAATCCGAGTAATGCTGACAATCTCTAATCCCTTATTGTGCAAACCAGGTTGCAGATTTTGGTTCTTTGGAACTTTCACCGGTGGATGGTCGGACCTTAACTGATTTCATGCACACTAGAGGTCTTCGGATGCGATCTCTTGGGCAAGTGGTAAGTTTCCTTCTGGTGATGTAGACTTTTCTATCTGTAAAATATATCTTTTAATTTCTTCCCTTCTGATACAATGAACCCATACCTGTTCCTGTACCTTTTATTATTAGTTACATTCCGTGCATATTATAGTCAAAGCCTTTAATTATATGACTTGATGTTCTTATTTTCATCCTTCAGCTTATTGTCTATCTCAAACATTTCTACTCTTTCTTGCCCGACTGATTTTGTTGATGGGCACCATATTTGTTTATATTCATGAAAATGATGTCAGATGGTATTCCAACTCTAAATTTTTGTTGATTTTGCACAAATGCAAGTCATTAACCTTTTCTACACTGGTACTACTATCTTACATTAAACATGTCTAAGAAAATAAATATAAATGTAATTTGAGAAGCGGAGATAAGATCCTAGTTTAGTAGTATCAATAAATGTATGAAACTCTAATAGATTTTATAGTATATAGTTATAAGTTAGGTAATCTCCTATGAGCATCATCTTAATTTTTCATCTAAATCAACGGTGAATTCTTAATGCTTTTGGAGCTAATGGACTTCCAGTATTGGGAAGAATGAAGTATGATAGAAGTGTGTACTCTGAGCATGATGATTACTATCAGAATTTGGTTAATCAATGTTGACTAGAGAAAAGAAGTTTAGGATATGGTGGATCAATGCGTCCTTCCACATCTAGCTGTCCCCCAAGGCCAGGAATGAGAGTTTCACTTGAATGATTCATGGATAAAAATTGGGAAGACAAATGAAGCGGTAACATGGATAGTGTCACTCATCCTGGAACAAGCAGTGGTCAACTTTTGATGTGCAATTTCTCAACAGTGGCCAGATGTTGTTTACCAGTACACATCCAAACTCCAAAGCAAATGAAATGGAAACTTGGAATTGCCAATCCACCTTGGAAGGAGTGATGCCTTCAGGAAATTCAACTTTTGATGTACAATGTCTCAACAACAATGGACATATGTAATTACCTTTAGACATCAAAAGGGGCTGCATGAATGAACTGCTTCATCAATGTCTGGGGCGAACAGATAGATGTAAGCCTTGTGGACAGGCATCTCAAGTTGTGAAATAGAAAGTGTGAACATGCTCAAATTTTCTATGCCTCAAAAATATATTGGATGATCTGTTATACCTGAGGTCCAAAGCCTGTCCACTTTGCTAAACTTTACATGATTTTAGGAAGCATAGTGGTCCCCTCGAGAAGCATTGTGACAGTTCGTTTAGATGTGAGTATAAGAAAGAAGAGTATAAATTGGATTTCAGGTTAATTATGTACTTTTAGAATTTGAATACAAATTATGGGACATCACAAACAGGAAAGGTCACTTCTAAATAATGATGTGGAATTCTCTTGCTGTCCAAATTTTAAACAGAGTTGCAAAACATCTAAATGATCATGGTAAGGGCCTTACCTCCATAAAGATCCATATGCAGAAAATTGGCTTTGGAGCCAACCATAATCCTTCTAATGACCCCAAGTTTAGTTTGAATATTTAAAAATATAAAAGCAGTACATCTTTAATTGCAATTACGTTAGTTTTCTGTTTCTTATATATTTCCACCCACTCAAATCTATGGCATTCAATCTTTCATCGAGTCAGACAATCTAAACTCCATCAAAGTGTTGCATCCAAGTTTTCTATAAGCAGAGGAGTCCATTCTCTTATAGCTTGTTCTGTTGACATCATTTTCAGCTGTATCTTGTCTAAAATCAGATGTATACTGTATTCACGCATATCTTGGTTGAATATTATGCATAGTACATGCAGTTGGAAGGAGATAAAAGCCTGCTATATTATCACGATAGAGTGCATTTACTGAGTAAAGTTTGTTATTTCTTATCTATGTCAGGTTAAGCTTTCAGAAAAGTTATCGCATGTGCAATCTCTCTGCATCCATGAGATGATTATACGAGCTTTTAAGCATATTCTACAGGCAGCAATTGCTGCTGTTGCCAAGACTGAGGAAATGGCAGAATTGATCACTGCAGCATTGAATATGATGCTTGGAGTCCCTGAAAATGGACAACCAAATCAGTCTCATGGTATCCATTCCCTTGTATGGAGGTGGTTGAAGGTATTTCTGAAAAAGCGATTTGAATGGGATCTAAGCAGCTCAAACTACAAGGATGTGAGAAAATTCGCAATTCTTCGTGGTTTATGCCATCAGGTACATTGCATTTCAGTTTCAAAAGTTGCGAATCAATACTAACTCTCTAGCATCTTTCTTCAATTTGCCTAGTTGATTAGAATAATCATGTTTTATTCATGAATTTCCCTATGTCAGTTTATGGACCAATAAAGAACTTTTATTCTTTTGCGTAATCCAAAATGATAGGTAAAATAGCTGGGATATGTTCAAATACTTCAACAAGATAAAGCCACTGTGGCACACCTTTTTGGCTGTTTGGAGCTAATGGATTCAAGTCACCATTCCTATTTAAATCGTTAATTTAGGGCATGCAAAATAGCTAAATCATTAGCCTACTATTACTCACGTGTTAATCCTTATTTTGGACATAATGCATCTGATAGCAAGACTCATTAAACATTCTTGGATATAAGATTCCAATGGAGAATTTATGTCAAACATATAGCTATTCCATCCAATTTTACAATACTGGGCTACGTTAATCTTTCGTCCAGTTGATATATGCTTTTCAAGCACTATATGTGCTCTAAATGTTGTGGATAAATCTTTTTGCTACATTAATCTTGCAATTTTCAAGCTGATTATGCATCAGACATATTATGGCAAGCCATTACCGTCGTGGCTGCTCTATGCATACATCTAGATTTATTTGACTAGAATGCGATAGGGATAATAGCAATATCCGACCTACCCCACTCCCCAGTTGCAGAAGTAAAAATACTTACATGCTGTGTTATACCCTGCCTATTATGGGTGTTGAAATTAAGACTGGAATAATCAGAGGTCTTCCATCCTTTTTTTTAGGTTGGCATTGAGCTTGTCTCTAGGGATTTTGATATGATATCTTCAAACCCATTCCGGAAAGAAGATATTGTCAGTCTAGTTCCAGTGCATAAGGTGACTTCTCTCGCAGTTCGATATTTATCTTATTCTCTGTCCATTTTTATTTTATTCAATTTGTCTCATCCAGTAAAATTCTGGATTCTTGTCACTGCAGCAAGCAGCATGCTCTTCTGCAGATGGACGACAACTCTTGGAATCTTCTAAGACGGCTCTGGATAAGGGGAAACTTGAAGAAGCAGTCAGCTATGGAACAAAGGTGATTTTTGAATAATTTTGAAAAATTCCTCCTACGAACATGAAAATTTAAGTAGGCTCTTCTGTACAAGGATCGGGTTAGTGGTTTGTGTCTTGAACCTCTCAATGTGTGGCTATCATATTTCCTCTTCTTCACGAGTGACAAAAACAGTAGTGAGAGATAACACGCAACAAAATAGATTTGAATCAGGTTTCTGTTGTCCTATCTGTGGTTACTGTCTATCGTGTGACTGCAATTCTCTTGCGTACTCAGGCTCTTGCAAAGCTGGTAGCAGTATGTGGACCCTATAATCGTATGACGTCAGGCGCTTACAGTCTTCTTGCAGTTGTTTTATATCACACAGGAGATTTCAATCAGGTCCATCTTCCATCTTGTTTACTCTCCCCGTTCCTCCATGGCATACATGATAGCTTTGACCTTGCTTAAAGCCAATTAACACATTTGTAGATGACCTACCTATTACATTATGCTACCTATTTATAGTACCAATCCTTGCCTCTAACTTGAGACATCTTCACCACAGGCCACAATCTATCAGCAAAAAGCTTTGGATATTAATGAACAAGAGTTGGGGCTTGATCATCCAGACACCATGAAAAGTTATGGGGACCTTGCTGTTTTCTATTACAGACTTCAACACACAGAGCTGGCTCTCAAGTATGTATATGTGCTGATTATTACTCTACACTTCAGCAGCATGCTAGAATAATTTGATTGCTACAATTCTTTGGGCATTATAAGAATATCTAGGGGATCAAACATGCGTTTCACTGAAGAGGATTCTACGCATGTAAATCATGCTCTTTTTTACATAACGTCAAGCTTGTTTTATTATTCATATATGATAAATTTACGATTCATAGTTTTGCATCCATTACTTATTATGTACATATGGAGACTGCATAGCCTTTCATTTAATTATATCATATTTATCTATTACCATGCTTGTGACAATGAACTACTATATCCTTCTTGTCTTCTCTTCTAGGTCCAATCTCCAAGTTCTTATAAGTTTTCTCTTCACTATGGTATTGTTGAACACTCAAGTAACAATATATTGTCAAAATAAGTCACTGCAATGTGAGTTATTGATGCAAATATGTCTAATAATGGAAGAGACTAATAGATCCACTAACGAGGAAGTATGATACAATGGTGATTTCTGATTAAAATTTGAGAAGGAGAAGGTTCTATTAATTTTTATGTAGGGGTGAGGTAAGTGAAGTGATTTTTGTAGATAGCGACTTGACGGATAATAGGACTAATTAAATAAGATGGAGAAACGGTGCTTGTCTAACTGATATCATTTGTTGAAGTGAGGCTTTATGCAGTTCTTTATCTACAAATTTTCTAAGAAAAATGTTGATATTTTTTATCATTCTATAATGCCTTGCCTTTTAGCTTTTTCCATGTGGGTATAATCCTTGTATACATTTTTGTATAATGCTTCTCCCCCCCTCTTTTGTTTTCATAACTTAGTATTCTGTTTAATTGTTTAGATACGTAAAGAGAGCATTGTATTTGTTACACCTCACATGTGGTCCATCACATCCAAACACTGCTGCAACATATATAAATGTGGCTATGATGGAGGAAGGACTTGGTAATGTGCATGTTGCTCTCAGATATCTCCATAAAGCTCTGAAGTGCAACCAAATACTTCTTGGTCCAGATCATATTCAGGTACCATGCTGCTTTAATTTTAATTTAATTCGTTTACATTATTCTTTTGTAACTGTAACATTTAGTTCTTTCTGGCTTCTATAAGAAAAGAAAAATATTCAAAATAAATTTCACCCAATTTATAAAATAATATTTTTTCATTGAAAGTTGAGGGCTTCTGAAGTGGCAATGGCACATTGCTTACAAATGATATTTTTTTGCCTTTTCATTTATCTTTTAAGAACTAAGGGATAAGTATAAAAAAAAAAAATTCTTTTTGTATATTTCTCATATTTTACACAAGAAAGACTTTATCTTTAGTTTGTAGTTAAAATCGTGGTGCCCCACAAAAGTGATTGTTATAAATTATGTTCCCTAGTTACCAAGGAAGGAGGAATTGAAGAGGATGTAATGCATAGGATTACAATAGGTTGGATGAGTTGGAAAAGTGCTGACATTGTTGAACAAGTTATTCTGGGGAACTGTTTACAATTGGGCTGGCATGTTTCATAACTAAAATTCTTTATGCTTTTCAGACAGCAGCTAGTTATCATGCTATAGCAATTGCACTCTCCTTGATGGAAGCATATCCATTAAGTGTTCAGCATGAGCAAACAACCTTGCAGATACTCCGAGCAAAGCTGGGCCCTGATGACCTTCGAACACAGGTACTTTCTGCTTCGTTGGTTCCATGGAGTTACCTCTGTATTTTCTGGCACTTAAATTTGCACATAAATGACTGGTTAAGTACTATGTTACTTTGGATACCTTATATCATAATTAGAAACAAAAAGTTTACCCATTTTATTAGAGGGGAACTGGTGTAGAAAAGAGAAGGAAAGAGAAGAAGAGACAATGAGACAGAAAGAATTGGGAATTTGGGAAATAAAATCTGTGAAAGTCAATATCATTGAATGTCACCTGTTGTTATTACGTGATTCAGAAATACCAGTTCTATTTATACTTAAATGTCTTAAGAAATGGAATTTTGCAGAAGAATATAACTTAAATTTTTTAATTTAAAACTAATAAATAATACAAGAAAACAAATCAAAATATATTTTCTACTTTATGCCTAACATATGGTACATGCTTATTTTTGCCACATATTCAATGAACTCTCCATCACAATCTCTGCCTGGAAGTTAATTCAGCACGTTATAGTAAATAGTTTAATAACTTACGTCATTAGCATCTTTCTATTTTAATCTGGATTCTAATCAATTGTTTCTTGTTTTTCTGAATATTGGGATAACTCAGTTATGAACCTCCTACAGCAAAATTTCAAGTTTGAAACATTTGGATTTGTATTTATCCGTACAAGGTTTTCTTCATCGTTAACATCATGCCTGTTATAAACGAATGCTGCAGGATGCTGCTGCATGGCTTGAGTATTTCGAGTCCAAGGCTTTTGAGCAGCAAGAAGCTGCTCGAAATGGGAGTCGAAAGCCTGATGCATCTATAGCCAGCAAGGGTCATCTGAGGTATATTAACATTTTTCATTGTGATTTGCAAGTTGGCACATAGGATTTGTGAAGCTTGACGTGCCGCGAGGTTGGTCAAGCAAACTGATTCATTAATCTGACATAAATATAAATGGTTTTATATTCACTATACTTCAAGTTTGCTTTTAAATGTTTTCTCAGTTTTTGTGCTAGAAATGTTGTATGGTACAATTTATGGAGATTTGAGTGTTACGTCTAAAACAAGTTGCAGCACTGAATAAAAAATATTAAGAGGAATTGTACACACTGGCCTACATCTTAAAATTTCATAAATGCTATCATTACGACTAAAAATCCTAGTGGAATCAATTTATTGATTGACAGTGTATCGGATTTGCTCGACTACATTAATCCAAGTCACGATTCCCAAGGGAAATATGCTGTGGGAGCAAAGAGAAGAAGCTATAATGCAAAGGTTTGCTCTTGTTTATTTATCTACTCTTATTCTGTAAGAATACAAGGTTATGACATTGCCAATAACAGGTTTTAGATCCTCAAACTTTTCGCAATTCATTTCTTTAAGATCTTGGAACATGCAATGGGTCAATATAAAAACTACCCTCACTCTACTATCGTGCTATTGGTATCCAAGTAAATGCAATATCAGAAGGTTGTCGTTTATTCTTTTTAAGAAGCTTAAAGTTTTGACCTTTCCTCGTTTGCATTAACACAAGTGAATGTGCATGTTTAAGTTTAGACACTTATCTAACTGAAATCAAAATTAGGAAAATTCTTTGTCTTCAAACTTTATGCTATCATTTCATTTATTGGATGTTCAATAGCATTTTCCATTTTGAACTCTCATATAGTGCTCAGGAAAGGTTCTTTCAAGTAAAGTTTTTATGCCTGAGGTGATCTTATTCTATAATGTTCTGTAAGAAAACCCCCCTTGGATGCAAGCAACCATCGATTATTAGAAATGTGTGACTCTATTTTCAACTGTTGATTTGTACTTTCATTTCTTAGGTGAAGGGAAAATCTCCCCAAAACAGTATTGCCTCCCCAAATTCTGAGGCTTCTCCCAGAGATACTCTGGTAGAGGTGTCAGATGAAGAGATCCAAATTCTTGAGGCTGAAGTCGAGAACAACGTGAACCATGAATTAATTTCTGTGTCAGTTCAGCGCGAAGAGAATGTGGTAAAAGAATCTACTGCAGAAAAACCAGGTCAGTTCAACAGACCTTTGCTGGAGGAAGCTGTGGTTAAAAAGCCTGCTGTTTCCAGTGATGCCTCACCTGAAACACGTGCTGAAGGAGAAGATGGATGGCAATCAGTTCGAAGACCCAGATCATCTGGCTTGTATAGGAGACGACTGAGGCAGCGAAGGCAGAATGCAAGTAAGATTCTTGGTTGTCAGAAAAAAGAAGTTGCTGAAGTGGATCATCCTAGACTCAAGAATAACCATCTAAGTAGTAAATATTACCTGATAAAGAAACGAACAATGTCTCCAGGAAATTATGCAGAATATTATGTAGCAAAAGGTCCATCTCCAGGTACCAAATTTGGGCGAAAATTAGTCAAAGCAGTAACATACAGAGTTAAGTCTGTATCTTCATCTGCCAAAGATGCTTCTGAGGAGACCTCCAAAAATGAAGGTGGGTCATTATGTTCTCCAATAGAGCAAGGGATGGTCTCCGAACAAAGAGAGGTTGGATCAGTATCAAAGAAAAGTACAATAGTAAGCTTGGGGAAATCTCCTTCTTATAAGGAAGTAGCTCTGGCGCCGCCAGGTACTATACCCATGCTGCAGGTGAGGCTTCCCCAGAATGTAACTCATGAAAGCAAGGAACTCAAAAGACATGATGAGCAAAACAATGAGGTTATGGAACATGCTGGGTCCATACTGTTAAATGCAGAAAATTGTGAGGAAGAGAATATTCAAGTTTTGGTTGTGCATCCCACTGCCCATCTGGAAGATGAAGACAACACTACTGAAAAGAAAGTTGAAACTCTTTCAAAGGACACAACAGATGATAAAAACTCAGAAGGGGTTTCGATGAGTGTGTCACCACATCAATCCAGCACTGTTGACTTCAATAAAATGGAGCAACAAGATATTCAGAATGATAATATTTCAAGTTCTGCAGATTCTCTAGAAACGCATATTTGTTCAGAGGATTCATTGAATGATCCAACATCAACTTTGGGAGGAGTCGAAGAACTAAAGGTGAAATCTTCAGAGGATGTTCCAAATGAATCCAGAGAGATATCCAATAAGAAGTTGTCTGCATCAGCAACTCCATTTAACCCATCACCAACCGTTGGACATGTAGCGCCATTGCCTATGAACATTACTCCCCCTTCTGGTCTGGGAACTGTTCCACCTGTTGGTCCTTGGCCAATGAATATGAGTCTTCATCCAGGTCCCACTACCATTTTACCCAATCCCATGTGCTCCTCCCCTCACCGCCCATATCCATCACCCCCATCAACACCTAACATGATGCACCCCTTGCCATTTATGTACCCTGCATACACTCAGCCCCAATCATTACCTCCTAGCACTTTTCCAGTACCTAGCGGTCCATTTCATCCTAACCATTTTGCCTGGCAATGTAACGTAAGTGCCCATCTGTCAGACTACATTTCTGGTAGGGTTTGGCCTGGCCATCACCCAATAGAGTTGCCTGTCTCACCACCTGTAGTTGAGTCAATTACTGAATCCACTTTGGAGTTGAAGGAGCAACCTATTCCCTTGGAGACTCTGAATTTGGCACAAACTTTTCCAGTAGATCTTGACACTGGGACTGAGTCTAAGAAAGAAGTAGATCTTCTAGCATCAGAGGCTGTGGAGAACTTAAATGTCATAGCTGGTGTTCAATCAGGAAACAGGGAAGAAAAACATAATTCTAGTATGCATATCCTTACCATTCCTGTAAACCAATTAATCAACAATCATGGTCCAAAAGACGAGGATATCAGATGCAATGGTTATCATGTGCAGAGACACCAGCAGAATGCTGCTGAAGAAAAAACCTTTAACATTTTGGTTAGAGGGAGAAGAAACCGAAAGCAGATTCTGAGAATACCATTAAGTATGCTCAAAAGGCCATATAGTTCGCAGCCATTCAAAGTTGTATATAGCAGAGTCATCAGAGAAACTGAACTTCCTCGGTCTACCAGTTTTCCTTCAAATGAAACTAATAAAGCTAATACTTAGTGAGGAAATTTTTTATCTCCTTTATCGAATAATATTGCCAGATGATAGATGGAGAATTTGTCTTCACGTGGATGGTACACAACAGATACATAGACGTCTTGGATTTTCCAGCTTTAGTGGATGGGCGTTCATTAGATGCCTGAATACATCATTTCTTAATACACACAGGTTAGTCCCTTATATTTTTTTTCCTGTTTTTATTTTCAAAGGGAATACAAAATATATTTCGAATCTTCTATAGGTCATTGTTATCGTCACTGGTTTCAACAGTCTTTTTTGACATTAAGTGCATTATCAGTAACCAAGTGGGTTAAAGGTGTAAGCAATGTAGTTGTAAAACTGATATTACTATAAACTCTTTACATATTTACAGACACAATTGATTTTAATTTAAAGGGTCTTCTTAGCAAAAGGCACTGCCATTTCTTATCTTCATTTCAAGCAAAAGGTTCATTAATTAAAAGAAGACAGTTCAGAAAAAGTTTACGGGATCCTGAAGATGGTTACATATTTTCTTTTAAGTGAAAAAAATATTATATCAGATTAGCTTACTATCTAAAAGACCTAGTAAATGATAACTAATAAATCCTTGAACAAGGGAATTGCAATATTAAATATGAAACTAAGAAAAAAAATTCAGGGTGACAATCCGATGAAGTTAATGGAGTTAGATGCCGAAATAAGACATACATCAAATCCCTAGCTGATAACTATTGATGTCAAGTCATGAATCTAATCCGTGTACCTTTCGTGTTAGTCCATGAGGATCAGACATCCAAAGTTATAGGAGTTAGTTATAACATGATGCATTATTGATGCTTTCATCTATCATCATTTTTATCGATATTACTTTGAGTTTCTTGAGATCCAATGATGCTTATTTGTACACAAATTTACTTTGCTCTGAGAAGTGTAACAAGGACGCTCTTTAGACAACTCGAAAGAATGTTCACTAATAATCTAATTTCTACAAAGTCTGGAAAGCATGTGATATGATGTTCAGTTCTTTATTTCACAGACACAGAAGTATTATATCTTTAGCTGACCAGTATCTGTCTTTTTGTATGCAGAGTTACTGTATTTGGACTCCAGAAAGTTTTCCTATTCTAGGTATAACCTTCTTTATAATTCAATGCAGAAAGTTCGATGATTTGGTGTATTATTTAATTTTTGGATATTCTCGTGCATAATTTTTGGTGTATTATTTAGTTTTGATATCACATTTTTTGACCCTTCTGTTGACATTAATTTGATTTGTTCTCGAACTGTTCTCTTGATTCTACTGTTAAAATAATATTTTTCATTTTATCTACGTCTACTATCATCTATATTGTTACCGCCTTTATATGCCAAACATTCCTATAAAGCTTATTATGGATTGAATGCAAGATGTTCTGAAAATGGGTACTTTGATTGTCAATATTTTCCACGAAAAATGTGTTTGTTTACTTAATTTCTTACTTTTGTGCTGTTTGATTAACCATATTTTCTTTAGGGTGAGATGGTTTTTATTTTCTAGGTAATTCACTTTCTTTCCCTCTCTCATCTACCCACAAATAAAAAATGGACAAGTATAATATTTTCTAAATTGAAAACTAAATCAATTAAACACGTTTAATTAATAATTTTCATATAAGTAAGTTCCAGACAATTGAATTGTCTAGAATTTTTTTTTTTTCCATACAAATTTCAAGACATACCAATAGTTTCTTTCAGTCTCCTTCCACCCAATATGAATGACAAATTTAATCAGATGCCTCTCTTCTTTAAATATATTGAGGTCAAACATTTGATTCAATGATAACACGGGATGACTGGAAATGAAGCGCAACAAAAACTTGCAACACCTTCAAATTTTTCAACGAAAATTGAGTAAAATGTTGAATCAAAATCTATGTATAATCACGATATCGATTCCAGTACTCCCTGTGTCCAGACCCAATTTATGAAAACGTCACCTCGATCAAATATTTAGTTCATTAAATGATAAACATGTGAATTTAGTGTTCCATCTTACATGAGAAATAGAGTAAAATGTCATTTCAAATAAACATAGAGAGAGGAATGGACAGTAGAAAACAGTTAATCTTGTTCCCCCATGACTCTTGCTACTCGTTTTAGTAGTCGTCTTAGAATCTGCATTACCTACGAAGAAAATCCGAATATTTTGTTATCATCCCTTCACCGTTATACTTGGAAGTATGACCTCGCTTGGGCTTGCGCTCAACCTTTACTCGATTTTGGGTTGGCTCTCAAACGACACCTTCACACAATTTATTACTTTGATTGTCTTTTCAACAAGGAAGGAATAATTTGTTAGCCATGTAGTGAGTTTTATCTCATTCAAGAAGTGAATGACTACTGGATACTCAACACTTAAAGATTCTGCAATTACAAAAGTTTCAAATTAAGGAAACAGAATAGGACGATATGAAGTTGGTTATATGATTCAAATCAAAATGACAAAGTGTGATCATTTTTCAAATTCATGAGTCATTTCATTGAAAGAAAATCGTTTTATGTCATAAGCTTTTAGAAGCAACAACATTCACGGCAATTATTAAGATAAATACTATGTAATCGACGTGCTCTTCATAGTTCACACGAATTGCCCTCTCCCTCGCACTAGCCGCATGCTAAGGGCATAAATAAAGCAGGAAAAGCGTAGATCAAAGTATTAGCAAAGCTTGATAAATAAAAATAAACACAATTATTCAACAAAAGGGGGTGTAGCTCATATGGTAGAGCGCTCGCTTCGCATGCGAGAGGCACGGGGTTCGATTCCCCGCACCTCCATTCTTTTTAATATTCTGACACAGCAAACCAGTTTTTTAAGATTGTTGACTTTATTTCGTAAAATCTAAATATGAATATTATCTTTATTGTTTTAAGAGTTCTTAAAAGCACTTTTTATATGGAAAATGGTTCTAAAAATATTGTTTTAAAATTTTCGTCTACGTTCGAAACTTGTCTTTGTTGTTTTAAAATATTGATTTTTGATAAGAAAAAAATAAACTTTATTACGTAAAGCCGAAAATATTGGATTGGGTTTCCAGTCGATAACGTAAAAGGAAAAGAATGAAACATTTGACCCGGGATCTCCCACAATTGAAACTCGCTCTCTTTCTCTCTAGCAGTTTTTAGCATAAACCCAGGCGGTCGATCAGCTGTTAGATTCACAAATCACTTGAAAAAAACTTAGAACCAGTAAGTTTTCTGCATCCTTGTTTAATATTCACGTGCATATATTTTCATTTATACTTTGATGAATTGGTGTCGCTTAATGTAATTTAATGCTGTGATTCAAGATTAATTTTTTACCTGCATTATGTGTTTCTCTAATTCTGTTGCTTCTTTGTAATATTTGTTGACCTCCGAATCTGATTGAGTCCAGCACGTCAATTGATCCCGTCTCCGCTCCTCTCCAAGCGTATGTTACTTGCGCACTTGGAACGCACGAGTTAGACCGGAGCCCCTCAAGACACCAGGTAGAATCTGCAGCGTTTTAGTTCATCATACTACATAGATCATTGATAGATATGTATGAATATGGGTTTGAGTTTCGTGCTTAAAGCAATGATAAATTTTTTGTATATGAGCATTCTATGTTTCCTTTCTCTTCATTTTGGGGTCAGAAATGGTATCTATTTTGTGGTTTAATTCAGCAAAGTTCAATCAATCTTCAAATTGAGAGTCAATATAATATATGGTAACATGAAATACTTCAACAATATAAGCCTCAGTTTTTTAGCTAATCAGACTTCATTTGTAATTACTCTTTTAAATTTGGGCTTTGCTACAAGTATGTACATAAGGGTATCCATAATGGACACCCGGCATCTCCTTATTGGATGGAGTACCAGTGGGGCCGGCACTCCATCCAATAGGGGGGTGCCGGGTGTCTATTATGGAAACCCTTATGTACACCCCAATCTACAACAAGAATAATCCTTTAAATTTTGTGAGTGCAGTCTGGATTACAAACACTGAGGATCAAGAACTTCGGGTACCAAGCAACACCATCCAAAAGTCATTTGCAATTTCTGTTTGCTCTCTTCATGGGTTGCTACATGTCAAAGAAAGAAATACGAGCACCTGGATTTGAGGATCCTGCCATCATTGCTTCTGAAACAGCTTGTAACTTCCCAACCTTTTGCTAGGAACGTGAGATACAATTTAAGGAAGAAAATTGTTGCATTAACGCATCTGTCATGTCACTTCTTATTAATCAAAGGCAGAGTGTTAGTTCATAGCAAAAGGAAAGAAAAAGCAATAAGAACTGAGACGGGGACATAGAACCGATATATACAAGGAAAAAATTAATCAGTCTAGTGAACTGGGATCAAAAGATAAACAAGTTTACTGTTGGAGTCAGCCAGTCTAGATTGAAACCCAATGTTAAATGCATCCACTGCATATTTAAGGTTCTGTGCAATATGAATGAAGCTGTGTGCACCTGGACCAAGTGTAGATATCCTGGCTCTAGCTGCACTGAAAAGTGGATCACATTCATGAATTATTGCACAATTTTTCAAGTAGACCACCTTCGTGATTTCATGCATCTCTAATTTCACTTTTTGCCTATTACTGTATTGAAAGTTCTTGCTAAGAACTCTGTGTTCGCAGTCTCTGTGAATGAAGTCGAGGCTTTGCACGAACTGTATGAGAAAATGAGCAGTTCTGTTGTAGATGATGGTTATATACAGAAGGTATCTCTTTGTAATTGACTTCTGTTTTCTTTAAATACTCTTTCAATTTTCTTTTTGAGGTGGACCTCTTGTACTAGTCTCTATATTTCTCTTTAATCTTGTAATTGTCAATTCTGATTGCACATGGCTTATTCATTTGTTGACTATAATCTATGCATTCCTCGATGAACAGGAAGATTTCACGTTTGCACTTTTGAGGAATAGCAATAACCGGAGCCTCTTTGCAGATAGGGTACGCAATTGCTAATTTCCTTTTTTCTTGTTCTTTCTTTTTTTCTTTTTTTTTTTTTGACCTTTTTCGAGCCGAGGGAGAGGAAATGGAGTATGATCCTGTGAGGTGGTGTACTGCACTCTCAACAGTCAATTACCTCTCACTCCTCTTCTATGATTCTCCAGATATTTGATCTATTTGATGCCAATCGGAACGGACATATTGATTTTGGAGAATTTGTTAGGGCATTAAGCATCTTTCACCCGAGAACTCCTGTAGCTGAAAAAATCGCGTGTAAGAATACAGTTTTATCAGGACTAATTCTCCACTATATGTCGTCTCTAACGGAATTTCTATTTCCATTTCTTTTGTTTATTTGTTAAATCCTTGCTATAAAATTGTGAAATTATTGAGCAGGGGCATTCAGATTATATGATTTAAGGCATACGGGTTACATTGAACATGAAGAGGTAATACTGTTTCCCATTTCCTTTTCTACTTATAAGTTGGTCCGAATTAAAAGTTTTGGCATCAAGCTTTGAAATGTATAACTTGGAAAGAAATTTTAGCACATTGAGCATAGCTTCATTTGCACAAGGTCAAGTGTTTTAACTTTTATTTGCACAAATGAATTTTATTCCTCTTGAATCCCAAAGTCCAAAGACTTGAAGGACAAGATTTAGAAGATATTCACGTGGCTCAGTCTAACAGCTTAAGCTTTTAAATTAAGTGGTTCAACATGGTATCACAGCAAATAATGATACAAGTAAAAGTCTCATCGCCACACATTTAATGAAATTGTGCACGTGTTAGGATTTGACAAGGTAAAAAATGAACAGGAGGCGTGAGGGGAGCATGTTAAAACGTGATCTAAATGAAATACATATAGACCTCTAGAACTGTTTAAGTTTCTAGATCAATTGATTAAATATTTTTAAATTCAACTCGTGCATTAAAGCACATATAAATTTCTTGAAAGAGAGGAAATGACTAATGTGGACATAAAAGATTCAACATGGGGAAACAATGAGTGAGTTATTGTGGTTAGCAATTTTCAAAAGGTCTATTGTGGTAAAAATGGTTGCTAAAACACATCTGTGTTTTATTAGTTACGGCTTCCATCTTCATGGATTCTTCAATTTGCCATTGATATGGTGAGAGTCGAGATCATACCCTTTTTCAATTGCAAGCGTCTTTTAGATCAGTTCTTGTTTCTTCCTCATGACTGAATTGAGGACAGAGCTAGAAATCCCATAGCTGTGGAATACGATTATAATATGCTTAGGCTCAACATAGTCCAACATCCTCTTTTTGAGTAACAACTTTTACGATTCTCTCTTAATTTCTCGTCTCACAACTTTTTTGCACGTAAAATCTATCTTGACAATCATCAACAGTTGGAGGAGATGGTGGTGGCTCTTCTTAATGAATCCGACCTGAATCTGTCAGATGATATCGTTAAAGGCATTGTTGATAAGGTGCAAATGTTTATTTTGGTACGAATAACTTAACTCCCCATTTTTTTACACGAAATCATTGCTCATTTGTGTAATTTCCTTCCACAGACATTCAAAGAAGCTGATATAAATGGCGATGGCAGGATTGATTTAGAAGAATGGAAAGAATATGCAACAAAGAATCCTTCTTTACTGAAAAATATGACTCTTCCATATCTAATGTAAGCTTAAGTTTTTACTTGTTTCTCATAGTCTACTGTCACACTCTCAGTACGTTCTCAAAATCTTGTGGATTGTTTGGTAGGATGAATTTTGCTAAAAGAAAAAAGTTAAAATCTTGTTTATTATAATATCTGCAATAACTTGGATTCCAAACTGCATATTTTCTTTGTCTAAATTTGCAGGGATATAACGCTGGTGTTTCCCAGCTTCGTGATGAGCAGTGAAGCAGATGTTTCAAAATGGCAGCCCGAAAGTAAACTCATCGATACATTGCAAGTTGATAGACACTAGGCAGTCGTGAAAAAGATTGGAGTTCTCGTCAGCGTATCTTAAGAATGTCTCGGTCGACAGATTTCGTGAAATCGTAAAAGATTTATTAATAATGTAAATTGTTGTCTCAGTCTGAAAAGGGGAAAAAATGCAGTGTAGAAGTTCTCTCAATTGCTACTTTGAAAAGAAGCATATATGCTGGGAAAGAGAGTAGTTGGTCAATGCAGACTTTTCCATTGATACTAATTAGCACACTGAGAATATTCCGTAATATGTAAATTTTTTTTCTTACTTTTGGAGCTAAAAAATTAATTTCGGGAAATTGGATGGAAAAGGGAAATATGCAATGAGATTTTTCTTTTTCCTTTTCTAGTTGTTTCGTTGTAAAACAACACAAGAAAGCATAATGGTCTCGATTGGGTCCATTAATACCTAATCTCATTTATATTAATAATCCATCTCTTCCTTGTTGAGTAAGTTTCTATCAAAACAAACTCGAGTGAAATATTGTGTACGTCGAACTGCATTGAGAGCGTGTTTGATTGACTTTATTTTCTATGTAAAATGTCATTTTTTTCATACAAATTCCTACTTTTGAAATGTGTGATTGACAATTTTTTCCATGGAAAATATTTTTCAACTTCTGGTCATATTTTTTCAAAAATAAGGAAAATATTTTATTTAAGGACATGGGATTTTTATTTTCCAGATAATTTAATGTCTCTTTCCCTCTCTCATCTATCTCACATCTCTCACCTAGTCATCAATAAAAAAATGGATAAGTATAATATTTTTTTTAAGATGAAAACTAAATGAATCAAATATATTTAATTAGCAATTTCCATACAAATAAGTTTCAAGCAATTGAATTGTTTATAATTTATTTTCTTTTCATAAAAATTTCATACGTGCAATCAAACACACCCTAATATTAGCTCATATTTGGGAAAAAAAAAATTGTGAAAAGTAAATTTTTTTTTTTTTTTTTTGGAGAATTTATGATTAATTTTATTTTTTAAAATTTAGGTGTAAAATAATTTTTAAGAACCAAACGAGACCTTAGGGCCTGTTTGGTATGGATTTTGATTTTCTACAGTAAATCAATTCTCATTTGCAACCACACATTCTTCAATAAAATAATATTTTTAATCACATCAATAATTTTTTCTTCTTTTTCAACCACACATTTCTCATCATATCACTATTCAAAAATCAATTCTTCCCTCCAAAAATCCCTCAAAAATCCCCACCAAACAGGCTCTTAATATCTGAGCTCATTACATTCGTCAAGATAGGATTAAATGAACACGTGTACAAGGATAAGCATATTTAAGGAGAAAATATATATATTTTTAAATTTGTTTCTTCACTTGCAAGGAAGTTTCCTCTTGATTCAACGTCTCTGTATAGAAAATGCGATGGCCAAAACGCGTTAATCTCTTTTCTTGCACTTCTCCAATCAAAACCAAATTCCTCTTTTTTTCCTCTCTCTACCAGTCTACATACAAGAACAAGAGAACCCAATTAGCGCCCTGCCATTTCGTAATCCAATCGCCTTCTAAGTCCTTGCACTTCACTCCCAATTCTTGGGGGTTCTTGCTCTCTGGTAAGAAACTAAGAAACCCCATTTATCTCTCTGTCTCCGTGCATCCCTTTTCAATTAGTAGTCCAGATTTCAATCCTGTCGGGTTTCCAGATCTAATTTCTTGTGGGATTTCTCGCGATCCCAATATTCGATAAGAATTGATTAAGAAAGGCCTGTCATGGATCTTTGAGGGTATTTCGGTCATTTAATCCTTGTTCATCTTGTACAGTTTGATTGATCTTTGGGTGGTACAGGATACAGATTTGTATCACATGGCGAGATGTGTAGAATAAGTTTGTAAAGATTTGGATTTTGCATAGTGGAAAATTTGTAAATTACAAAAATGTCGTCTGCTGGTGTACTTGCCCTTAGCCCTGTTCGGGAGGAGTCTTTGTCAATTTCTCCTCCCTCCCCCATGAATAGTCAGGAGTCCATTTGGATATACTTGTCCATGTCTGGTTCAATGATCCCGATGCGGGTCCTGGAATCGGATTCAATCGAATCTGTGAAACTGCGGATCCAGTCCTATAAAGGGTTTGTGGTGAAGAACCAAAAATTGGTTTCTGGAGGCAGGGAGTTGGCACGGAGCAATTCCCTCATCCGTGACTATGGTGTCACTGATGGGAATGTTCTACATTTGGTGCTTCGCCTCTCAGAACTTCTGGTCATTAATGTAAGGACTTCTTGTGGGAAAGAATTCACCTTTCACGTCGAAAGGAGTAGGGATGTTGGTTACGTCAAGCGCCAAATAGCTAAGAAGAAGAAGAAAAATTTAGAGGATATTGAGGATCAAGAAGTCTTGTGTAATGGCAAGCCAGTTGAGGATCAGAGGTTGATACATGATGTTTGTAGGAATAATAATGATGCCGTCATCCATTTGTTTGTGAGGAAGTCTTCAAAGATAAGGGCCAGACCAGTGGAGAAGAACTTTGAGTTGTCTATTGATGCACCACAACTGAATGATGTGAGAGGGAATGCTATGAATATGGAAAGTGAGTATGGAAGTGAATTGAAGAGTGGGAATAATCTGCAGGTTCCGAGGAAGCCTCTGGACAGAGAGATTCTGTTGGAGCCTGTGATTCTTAACCCGAAGATTCAATTGCCTCCAGAGATCAGGAATTTAATTGCTTCTACATTGGACGGGTTAAATAAAGGTAGTTATCCAGTCAGATCTTCGGAGGGTACCGGGGGAGCATATTTTATGATGGATGCATTGAAGAATAAATATTTATCTATCTTTAAGCCTCTTGATGAGGAACCCATGGCTGTCAATAACCCTCGAGGGCTGCCCTTGTCTGAGGATGGTGAAGGGTTAAAGAAGGGGACAAGAGTTGGTGAAGGTGCATTCAGGGAGTGTGCTGTCTACCTATTGGATCATCCAAAATGTGGTCGGCGCTCATTTTCTGGTGAAGTTTGGGGGTTCTCCGGGGTTCCTCCAACAGTTCTGGTTAGGTGCCTGCATAGGGGGTTTTATCATCCTGAAGGTGTAAATGTCAAGATCGGGTCCTTGCAAATGTTCATGGAAAACAACGGAAGCTGTGAGGATATGGGTCCTACTGCTTTTCCAGCTGAGGAGGTGCACAAAATTGCAGTCTTGGATATGAGGATGGCAAATGCAGATAGGCATGCTGGTAATATATTGGTGAGCAAAGGTGAAGATGGCCAGACTATGCTAATCCCAATTGATCATGGCTACTGTTTGCCTGAGAGCGTGAGTCCTTTCTAGTCTTGCGCTCTATCTTCTTTTCAACAATCACTTTAACTTGGTTGCAAAAACTCCATGTGTGGTTAACTTTGTTGATTTTTGGGTTTATTGTATGTTAGACTATGTATATGATAGCTCTGTAGCGTGTTATATGCTACCATAATTGTACATTATCACAGTCCAAATTAGCGTCACTCTTTCATGCATTTAAACCCTTGTTATGGTTCTTGACAGACAACATGTTTATACAACTATTTATTTCCTTTTAATATTTTTGGTAGTTTCTTAGTAGCATGGTGAATGTATTTTATATGATGTTGTCATCCATAAGTTGAGCAATGTTGACATTTGTTCAGATTTAAATTTGCTCTTTATAAGGTGACAGTAATATTAATGGAAGTTTGTAGTCTGAAAGATACACTGGGGGAGTATGACTTGCATTGTTGAACAAATACTAAGGAGCGAAACCTTTAATAGCCATCAAGATATCAATTTTTTGACCAGGGTAAGCTTTATTTACGAGAGGATGCTGCTGCCTAGAAAGTGACTGCTATGGAATTCGGTTTTCATGGATTGCTTGTCACCGAGAGGCCAACAGTTTCAGCTAATATATCTTGATGCCATGATTATAGTTTTTCTTCTTCCTTTTCCCCTTCTGATTTTGGAATCCATTTCTATTTATTATGTCAAGCACCTTCTTTTGGACTTTCATAAAGCAGCCAAGTAAATCCTTCTACATAGTCTCTTCCTTCTGAATCTAGCAATGTACCATCTGGAGGTATATTAAAAGTGAAAATTTCTTCTCGAAGTTATTAAATATGCACTTCTATAAGAGCATCTCCAATAGCCTCATTATTAACCCCAAACTCTTTATTTTAGAGAGTCAATTACTTTTTTTTTACATGTAAAGTTTATCATTTCATAATTTATCCTACACTTGTTACAAAATTGAAAGTAAATGATAAAATAAAAAAGAGGGACCCTACGTAATAAAGAAGGGAAAAGGTTGAGCAATAATCACTTATGGAAAAAAAATCAAAGAAAAACTGAAGGCTTTGTTTGGCATAGCTTATTTGAAAATCATTTTTCGCCAAACTCATTTTCAATCTCACATTCTCCAAAAAAATATTTTCACTTCAAATAAACTCTTACAAACAAACTCTAAATATAATGAGTGATTTTGGACTTGTATAAAAAGTTATACACTATTTTTGAATATTCATCATGATGTTCTTTATGTTGGAAAAAATGCTCTTGCATATAAAGAATATTATTGGAGATGCTCTAAGTTGTTTATTTGTAGCTGTTAACTTTAGGTCGTACTACATGCATACTGCTGTAGATTATTGGAGGACTATTTCTTGTATTTCATTACATCTGCACGTCCATACATGGATTTGAATTGGTTTGATCTTCTTTTATTTGCATTAAGATTTTGTATTGCTATTTTATGTCTTTATTGTTTAAAATAAATGAATTGTATTCTTGAAGACATATAGCTATTTGCTTTTTCTTGTAAAAAGTTCTTGTGTTCTCCACTCTTTCTTGCTTTTCAAATCATTATTTTCTGTTCTTGTACAGTTCGAAGATTGCACATTTGACTGGCTCTACTGGCCACAAGCCCGCCTGCCATTCAGCGATGACACTGCCAACTACATAAAGTCACTGGATGCTGAAGAAGACATTGCATTGCTCAAGTTTTATGGATGGGATGTACCGCTTGAATGTGCTCGAGTGCTGCGTATCTCCACAATGCTTCTGAAGAAAGGTGCAGAAAAGAAGCTCACCCCATTTGCCATAGGCAAAATCATGTGCCGAGAAACCTTGAATAAGGAATCTGTGATTGAGGAGATAGTTAAAGCAGCTCTGGATTCTGTGCTCCCTGGTTCAAGTGAAGCTGCATTCCTTGAATCTGTATCCTGCATCATGGACCGTCATTTGGAAGATATTGCGTAACAATTGGTGACTCTGAAATCTTTACATTAGCGTACATTTGTTTATATGTTGGACAATTGGGTTGTGGATGTTTTGTTAACATTCTTCTACTTCTTAGACAATTTTCCTTCTGTTTCTTTTATCAGAATTCCCACCTGCATCTTACTGGAAGTAACATTGACAGGTTCAGAACTAGTTCACATCGTACTTGATCAATAGAAGTGCTTTATTGGCTTTATTGTTCAGACATAATATCACCGTTTATTTGTAGAAGTTATAGTTTCCTTGTCCTTTGTGAAGGATTGAAGGGCAGGGATGGATTTCAGAATTTCTGCTGTCAGGAACTCGAAATTTGAGGTTTTTGGTCATGAATGGAAGGATTTTGTAGGTGTGTTCTTTTATGCGATTCATCAGTGTTTAATCTTGCTGAAGATAAGAAATCAGCATTAAAAATAGTGCTCAAAACCAAGTCAAATGCAGTTGATTGTCTTCATTCCAGTTGGAAAACTGCTGCTTTAATTGTGTAAATATGACAGCGTAAGAAGTTACACATGAGAGAGTTCAAATAAAACAAGAAAAATATACACTTGTTAGCCAACTCTCCATGATACATGGCATTGATCCACAAAGCTTTAACAATAACAACAAGGAAGCCTATAATCAACTGAAACTTCAAGCAGATGCGCGTACACTAACAAGAATACAGATTATATCAACACACCAATGACATTTAGCTTAAACTCAAGCACAAAAAAAAATGGAAAACAGCTCAAACAGACTGAAGCAGTCCTAAAGGTTGGGTATGCACACGCCACCATCTGGGTTCTGCTGTTCCTTCCATATTCGTCCTGTTACACGAAGCTTAAGCTCTTTCCTGTCTCCTCCAGAAAAGAAAAGGGCCATATTACGCTGTATAATGAGACCATCATGGCTGTCCCTAACTTTTCTGTGACTATCCCTAATGCTTCGTGGGGTACCTTCCCATACAAGTTTCCGGCCATTGCCCCCAACTTCCAAGCTGTAACTGTAGTTTCGTGCCTCCACCTCGTCTCCCATGAATCGAAGAAAAGCCATGTAAACAGGAGCCATGCCAAGTTGAAAAGCTTCAAAATGAAGACAAAAGTACTGACCGAAACAATGGAAAACCTGGAATGGGGAAAAATGTTGGCGAGGCCTTCAGCATTCATCATCCATGTAGGTAGACAATTGTGTTGTGTAAATTTTTAGTTATAATACAATAAAAAGGATTAACACAGATTACACGATTCACATTTCAACAGCAAAAGAAGGAGATGATTTTACAATCAAAGGGAAGTAAGAGAATATACTTACAGTTAGCATCCACGTGGCATTCTCCACATCTCGAGGATTAGATTTTACATAGCGGTGATTGAATGTGCATCCTGAGTGCATGTCAACCTTGTGATCATCTCTCAAATGAGCAACCAGATATAGAATATCACCAACAACTGAGCACTCAGATCCAGCATACGGGCATTTGTAAGGCCTAAAATTACAAACAGCCTCATGTTTCAGCTTACTGTAGTAAGGGAAGATCTCAGGACAACCTAGGGAGCAATACTTGCAAGGAAGCTCAAGAGATTCAGCCACCATTTCCAGTGCTAAACATCTTATATCACCAAGCTCCTGTCTACAAGTGGGGCATCGATTGTGAACCCTTGCTTTACAGGTGGAACAAAGGGTGTGTCCATTGTGGCACTGCAGGGAACAACATGATGATAAAACTCCTCTCCATATACATTTGGATAAACACGAAACGGTATCCTGGCTATTGGCTAAGGTTAGAGAATTTTTTTAAGTAATTTCTTGTTTCCAAATGTATGGAGATGTTAACTTATTTTAAGAGTAACTCATGCTTTAGAGTCAAAATGAGTAATTTATTTCCAACTTTGACCCATACAAAATAATTTATTCTAAACTAGCTTATAAGTTAACTTTTAAAGCTTAGCCAAACATGCTCTGGCCGACAATTTCAACAGAAAGCATTGATCATAAGAAAGTGCTACATCATTCTGGCTCTCGGTCTTGGTATCAGACGTGTGTATGAATTTTAAAAATGTAAAATGTGATGCTCATATATTTATCAATTGAAGATAATGAAAAGTTCTTCTTCAGATACTTTCATCTCAGAGTTCATATTTGACAGGGGAATTGATATCTTAGACACGGTTGACTAATTGGTGGGTGCTAATTTACGACAAATATCAACGAACTTTAGAGATTTGGCATTCAGTCTGTTAATCTGCCAAGTGAAAGGAACACCAAACATCAATCAAAGAGAGAATATTGTTTCCCCATGCCAATATATAAATGAGAAAGTGGTCGGGACACATGTTGCGACCAACGTTATCTCAAGGAAGAAAAAGTGACCATATTCATTACTGGAGAAAGAAGGTAATCCGGCAAGGATAGATGATAGCTCGAAAACTTTTTTTAGGAAGCAAAATTAAGAACTAAAGAATGTCATCTGGTTAAACTCCCATCAATTTATTTGGATTTAAACAGTAAATAATTAATCACTGTGTAAGGATCAAACATAAATAAGTTATTTACAGCCTTGCATAAAACAAAACAAGAAAATGAAGGTTGAGAGTCTTGAGACAATAACTGTAGTCTCATGCAAAGTGATATTGGAGATTTTTTTTTACCTTTTCGTTCTTTCAATTGAGGAAAAACAAGAAAACATGATTGGATCAAGAAAATATCTAATTTCTACGTCGTCCTTTCTCTCTGTTTTTCCAGTTACCACAGTACAAAGGTGACCTCCTATTTTCTTTAGCATATATTATTCAACTGGAAACACTGGAAGCCCAAAGAGAATTAAATTCATTAAAGTTTGTATCCCTACAATGCTTAATATGGGAAACCAAGACCTAAAGCCCCTTATTCCAGTGACAAACTATCGTAAAATTTTGGTAATTAAACTAAACCAGTGGGGGAAAAGGCAATTGGTTATTTTCCATTAATGCCCTCGTGACCTAACAAACAAAACAACTGCAAATTTTCAACAAATAAAATCTGCATAACAGCATCGTCATCAATTCAAACAATTGCCAAAAATTATCATGGGAAAAAGAAAATCCATTTTCGTTAAATTTTACAGTAAAATGCAACCAAATTACCAACATAAAAATTGAATCTTGAAAGAAATTAAACCACCCCTTGATTAAAATTGGAAAAATAAAGAAGAAATTGAACACACCTGGTGAATAGGAGGGTACATAGAATTGGTACAAACCGGACATTCAAGAAGCTCGTGGACACTAGTGGGTGGAGTAATTAATCCACCTGCGAGATTACTGTTGTTACTACTTGTGATGTTGTGAGATGGTTTGGAAGATGAATACTGAGAATAAGGATGTGGGTGTGAGATCTCATCTTCATCCATTCCATCGGAGTATGATACGCACTCGATGCTGGATTCCATACTTGCAAGGGTTTTCTTCTTCCGGTGAATTTCTGTATCAATTGTTAAGCATAGTGGATTGTTTTCTGCAGTGTGGATTTAGGATCATATGGAATTTTTTATGGGTATCTGTGTTTGATGGAGTTTGAAAATATTGCCAGTGAAACATTGAGTTTTCAAGTTACATAGGATAAACACAGAAATGGAAGAAAAGTGCTTCCTTGAAGATGCTTTTCTTGGTTGGGGGAAGGGGTTGGAGGTGGGGAGTGGGGGTTGGTGTTCTATTTTTTTCTCTTTTTTAAATTTTATTATATATATTATTGTAAAATTACTATTCTTTTTAATTGAGTAATATTATTTACAATCCCTCGTTATCATAGTTTTCCTACGCGACATACATGTGACCATTATTAATTTAATGCATTAATGTGAAAGTTTTTTTTGTGCTCTCGGATTAGGTATATCTATTTCTATCAACCAGATTTTCAAATTATTTGGGAGAAAAATTAATTTCCAAAATGAATTCTTTTTCCATTAATTATTGTAAATGATAATCTTCATGGAATAACTTCTAAAATAGTCATAGGTATATAGACACAAGTTTTGGTATTGTCAGCAATACAAGTTTAATGTTTTCTCAACAATTATTACAAGAGCTGTTAATTATAAGTGATATATAAGAATTCATATAACATAAGTTTATTTTCAAACCTACTGGTTCTGTGACTTGAGATGGACATGGAATTTTATTAAATATTGCCATATTTTAAATTTAGACACTAATTCAAATCAATAAGAAAGTTGATTTCAATTCATTAAATACAATCAAATTCGAAGATTCGTTTACGAGTTTGAACATAACTCATTTATTACCGTTTATTTAATTATTCTCATAGCTCAATAAAATTGGACTATCGCTTCTATGAAAGCACGGTTCTCTTCTAGCTCCCCTTTGTGTTCATCTATTGTTACGTTCTCTGACATTTGAGTATTTACTTGTCGTCAAGAATAGAGTGAAATTTCGTGTCATAGAAAGAAATGAAATTGGTTAGTGTACAAATAGAGCTCTTCAAACCCTTCATATATCATGTCTCAATCTCAGTGTAACGGTTGATTCTCTCGTACACATAATCACCCTCAAGTTATTACTATCACAAATTCAAATTAAGAATGAATCTAGGTAAGAAGAAACAATATTAAATCTAACAGTAGACAAAAAAGGAACAAACAGTTGTGATCCCACTGAAATTCTAGAATACATGGATTGTAGTGGCCAAGTTTGAAGCAGTCTTCAATAATTGAACACCTTCATTGACTACATCTAGAAAACTTCATTTCTTAACAGAGAAAAAAAAACATTCTTGTAAAGAAGCAAAATATAAGAACCTCGTTATTTGTAGGAAAAACAACCAACCAACCATGAATTTACAAATATCAATGTACAACTGAAGCCTAAGAGGAATTGAAAAGCAGAAAAATAAGTGGCAGTAACAAATAAGGAGAACTAACGACCAATGAATATTCCGCAAACTAATAAATATGAAAAAATATATATATATCAAAGAACAAATGGAAAACTGCTTCCTTGGGATCAATTGCACCCACTGGAGATGAAATATGAGGAGCAAGGCTTTGAGATAATTGTGCCCGTTTGGTCTTTGTCAAGCAAGGAATGATGAATCTCTTAATGACTATGTTCACTACTTCGACAGACAAGTCGTCGAGATTAAATGAGTTTCAGATGATGCAGCTCTTATAACAATCTTATCTGGGTCCACATAAGAGGAACTAAGTCTGTTCATGGAAGAGGACTCGAGACGCTCCAGAAATTCCGAACTCGAGCTGATAAGTTTATCGATGTGAGGAAACCGTGCTCAATCCCAACAGGAAAGATGAAGCTGCTGGTGGAAGTTCTGAGAAAGCTCGTGATGAAGGAGAAAGGATTTCTCATTTACCATTGATTAGGAAATGCTTCTCTGTAATTTGCGTTCTCTGCCACTGTCAGCTGTCTTATCGTAGCATCACTTGCACGGGTGTTCAATAGTCTCTGAGCCAATCTATCTTTAGCCACTTCTTTCTTTTTTAACATTGATGCAAGAGTCTGTTTCTTGTTTTTAGTTGAAGATTTTGACCCATTAAGCATCTCTTTATCTTCTCCAATATGAGCAGATCTTGAAGTTGAAGCAAGAGCAGCATCCCTTAGAACGGATTCATTATGTTCTCGAACTTTTGCAAGCTTTGCTCGCTTCAAAGATTTTTTGTCGTATTCTCTCTTCTTTGTTTCTTCTTTGTCCCTCTCACGAACATTATTCACCGCTTGATTAAATAACTGCTCCATCGTATTACTCTCCAAGTCTGGAGTTCTCTCTTCTTGTTGGTACTGCGAACCTGTCTCTTCTACAGTGGAACTTAGGTTAATCGGTTTTCCCTCATCATCCCGAGGAATGATAAGTCCATGGAATGGACAAACTCTCAAGTCTCGCCTCTGACAAAGTCCCCCCTTCCTCAAAGGTGCCCGACATGGTCGGACTTCAATAGGATCTTCCTTGTATACAGAGGCCTGTACATTCAGTTCGGCAATTTTTTCTGCTGGTATAACAGCATCATAGTCGACCCTACCCCAGTGACCTTCAAGATCCAATCCCCTCTGATTAGCTAACACATCTTGGTTTGAACCCCAGTTATTTAGAAAAGAACCCCACTTCACAACTGGAGCATCATCCAGAAGCTTATTCCGCAGAGGGTCTGATTCATTTCCACTCCTGTCATGATTCTTTTTCTCCTTTCCATTAGACTTTTTATCACTAAATCTAAGATCTTCACTTCTCACATCATTGGATGTTGATGCAGGTGTACAATCATTGCTCTGGCAAAACGCTGTACCAGATCTTCCACTAGCAAAAGATTCCAAGGAACCCTCTTCCCATATACCTTCTTCTTCATCATTTGCAATTTTAGGAGGAGTGCAACCTAACTCTTCACATTTTCTCATCACCAATTGAATACGATTCCTAATATCTATAAACTCCTTCAACGTGGAGTCCCTGAACCGGTTATCTGCTGCTTCCACCCTTATGAGAATGGAGATCCATTCTTGAATTGCAGCTAAATGCTTAGACAGTAAAACCTTGTAGAGTTCCCTTAATGTATCAAAAACCACTTTATTCTCAGTATTCTCATGAACTCTTTCCCCCTCTTTCAATGAATCAAGACGGATCTGTCGCAGTTCAGAGTTACGGAACTCCTCTATTTCTTCATCATCTGTAGGAGCAAGTGGCATATCTTCATCCTCTTTTTTAACAATGCGTAAACATTCACCAATTTCTTCAATTGTTGACTGTATTTCAGCTTTGATTGATACTATATTATCCTTCAAGGCCTCAAATTTTTTCACCAAGATCTCATTCGTCCTCATCTCTCTCTCCCTCCTTTCCTGCTGAATTCGGGCTGCATTTGCTTGCAGGTTAGGAAATTGATACCGAAGGGTGTTTTTAAGATAGTCATAACCTAACCGGAGCTGCCTGTAATGAATTCCAAATGACTCGTTCCACTTCTCTAAGAACTCAATAGCCTTTGACCGAAGAAAAGATGCAACAGAAGCAGGAGCTGGGAGTGGCAGATTCTTTCTAAATCCAACACTTAAACTTAGTAACTGATCTAGGTTCTCAACAAGAAGTGTTCTAAAAAGCTTTGACCGCATGAAGAGTTCATCTATTATGAGAAGCGCAAGGTACCGTACCTGCAAAATAAGATTAAAGCAACCTATTCACTTCAATCAGGGAAGCACAAAGAAGATACAAATATTTACTAGGTTAAACATCAAAAACACAATTTACACAATACCAAATTGACAAGCATTCAAACAAAAACATCTATAGTCAATCTTCTGAAAAATGGAAACTTAGATTTTTATGAGTCTGCTTCAACAGTCAGAAAATATGCATGAACATCGTGACCAGCCTTAAAACCTGCTTAGTTCTAGTTAGAAAATGCAGAAGACACGGTCGAGATTAGTACTAGTGTTTTACTTTCTCCATTTTCTAATTCCTTGCTTCAATAACAGTACCGCCACTTCTTCAAATAAGTGAAGTCAAAAGGCATAGATAACAAAGCATTATCAATGAAACTCTCTGGCATCCAAAACAAACAGCGACTCTCTAATCTTTCTAAAGGTAAAAAAAGAATTTCATAATTACACAACCCTCAAAAAACCAGCTATTATCACCCACCATAACCACACAGCATGGCTCTACATTTTGCATCCAACAACTTTAAAACAGGAAAAAAGTTACCATTATAAAATAGACAAACTCAAAACCACAACCATGAGTAATAACTCTACACAACACATTCTGCGGGGAATCTTGTTACTCAAAATTCAAATTTATAATACCATAATTGAGTCCAACCCACAAGAAAAGAACATTTTCATCTAATTGCTAACAGAAAACAATAAAACCACAATTAAATAAATCAATTGAATAAATAGTGTGTATTGTACGAGCAGAAGAAAGACCTGAGAATGATCACGTTTCATGAGAGACATAAGGGTTTGTGCGGCGACCCGGAGCTCCGAATCGGAATATCGAACCACTGATTTTATGGCCTTGAGGAGGCGCGGGTCCACCTCCGCCGCCGTCGAGTTTGTGGCATTCTCAATTAATCTCGCCACCACCAACGCCGCCTTATTTTCTCCCTTTCTTTCTTCCTCCATTGATATTATTATCGAGATTTCTGCATCGATCTCCCTAATTTACATATATTCGGTATTCTCCGTGGGAAGGTCAAATCTGAAAAAAGTCAAAAGGGAATTGGATTGGGCTTCACTCAATTTTGATTGTCGACAATGTCCTCGGGTAATTGGAGTAAGAACGCCTTGTGGAGGACATTATTATAATTTAAATGAGGGATATAACCGACGTTAACGTCGTAAGAGAGTGGATATCCAAGCCCATTAGTAATTTCACTTTTTGGGAAAAATTCACAACTCGGGTATTAACTATGATTTTTATGTTATAAAATTCAAAACTCAGTTGATAAATAAATAATTAAATATATTAAAGTCACAATTATATAATTAATGAATTCAATTGTATACTTATAGGTCACAACTTATTTATTGATCGGATATTATCAAATTAATTGATCACAAATTATTTCACGGTCAAAAATATTATACGTCACAATTTATTTGTTGGTCACAAATTTTCAAATTAGTTGGTCACATACACCAAACACGCCACTGCCACCTGTGATCTCGATCCACCATCAATATTTGATCACAAATCAACCAAATAGTTAGTCACAATTACAAACACCTAAATAGTTTGTCACAAACTATTTTCTTCTCATCATGTCATCGCACCACCTCCATAACTACCACCGACATCAACTAAAACACCACCACTACACCCAACCATCAAACACGGCCTGATTTACTTCCACGGATTTACCTTCGCAAATACCAGCACCGCCTACTAAATTCCACCATTTCTTCCAGCCACCACCACCATGACTACCACACACATTGCCACTGCCACTCCCACAACCTCCACCTACAACTTCAATCAATCATCGCCTAGTAAAATCCACCATTTCTTCCAACACTACCACATCTATCGAAACCACCACAAATCAGAAAAACCACCTACCCATAGTGGTGTCATGCGGTGCTGAAGAAAAGTCACGAGAGAATAGAAGTGACATTGGATAAAGAGAGATCGTGCAAGTCACCATAAAAAAAAGTGTACCAGCAAATCAACAACTGGAGTGGAAAATTCCCGAACCACTATACCATAGCCACCACTAAACCAACCAGAGAAACAGATGTTGAAAAGGAAAAAAAAAAAAAAAGAAGAGAAACGACAATGGGCACGCTCGTCGCTGCTTACGATGGTGTGGTGCTGGTGCATCGCGCACGATGGTTGGTGCTGTGCCTGTCGTCGACGCACACAAGCGCCATGAAGAGTCGCCGGGGGTGGGGTGAAGTGGTGATGGAAATTGAAGTAGCAATTGAAACTATTTTTGAAAGATGTATTAGAGTTTGTTGGGTGGAGTGGGGCGTGGGGAGGGTATGCGTGGGGGTTTGGGATAAATTAATTTAATTTTATAATATTGAAAATTTAAATTTTTACCTGATTTTTGAACATAATATTTTCAAATCTAAATTTTGAAATGTGATCTCGAAAAATCTGAGCTAGTGTAATTTCACTTTCAACTCTCTTTTAGGCCCACAATTATGTGTGTCTATAGGTCATCGGTCCAGAATTCTTGGGCCACCTTTTAGGGCTATGAACAAAATTTATTTGGCAAATTCCAGAAATAACATGAAAAAGTAGCGGAATGTGAAATAGCACTATTTATTTTTAATATTTTTATGGGGGTTAAAAATGACTTGTTTCTACTTTGTTACTCATCTTCAATTTTCATTTTGATCACCCCATCATCTTCTTCTTCTTCTTTTTCGCTTCTTTCTTTTTTCCTTTCAAAGTGCTTACGAAATTTATACTTTATTTTTTACACTAATTTTTGTTATAAGTATATTTCTTGTTCTCAAGTCTCTCGTGCGGACTATGATTTCAGACAAAATTTTATTTTTAAGGTAGTCATTAAACTTTAAATAGGGTACTTTATAAAAAAAAAAAAAATTATCCAATTATGTTTAAAAATGACTTTTTAAACTAAAACGAAGATTTTGAATTTTCAAAAGACTTGCCAATGGCCGTTTAAGAGAAATTAATTGACAAGACACGTCACCTTGAAAAGAATTAACAAGCAATTTTTCTTCTATCACATTTCTCTCACTTAATCGTCAATCTTGAGTCTACCAACATGTCTCTTATTTCGGGTGGACGTATTCATTGCATCAACCAACATGATGTCTATGCTCGTTGAATGAGCTCGATAATCATAGCAAGTTTTACAAATATCTCACAATTTCGTAGAATAATATTATTTATTTAGAGTGATGATCATTATCAGTCTGTAACAATGAAAGCACTACCACATAAATTGAGTATCACCGCGACTCTATATAAATAATATTATTCATTTTCGAAGTGCACACATTAATTGTAAAAGCACTTTGTTTTGCTAATCCCAAGATAGAGATGAAGCAATTCATATTATTAAATGCACTTTAGTCTTTGGTTGATTATGTTACGGCACAAGGTTTTACGCTTCAAAAATAGTTATTTTTAATTTATTATGCTTTCATGATATGAAATAATTATTTTTTTGTAGATGGTAAAATTAGGGAAAATTAGATTGAGATCTACAAACTTTGACATAGTGACCAAAATTTACGAAAATAGATCCCTACGTGACCAAAATCATCCACGATTATATGTAGACATTGAAACCGCACGTAATTTTCACAAAACACAGAGGGAAAATTTGTCTAACTTATGCACTCATTAAAATCGCGTGCAATTTTCGTATGACTCGTAGCTAGAAGGAAAAATCACCAAATCAATTAACATTTATCTCCGATTCAATTAGGAATTCAACGTTATAATTGATGATTTTCATCGAGTGAAAATCCAAATTATATATATTGGGAGTCCAAAACCTCTCTTTCAAATGTTGAAGATTCATAACCTTAAGAACATCTCTAATGTGAGTGAATTTTACAAAGAAGACGCGTGAAAATTAGGTGGAGAATGTCAAAGCATACCTTCCACGTCTCTTGATGGCAATCAAATTCCCCACCAAAGATGCCTAAAAAGTGCAACCCTAATTATCCACCAAATTATAATTGTTTCACTATAATCATACTAAAGCCATGTTTGGTCTCATTTTTTAAAACTTATTTTTTTCCTACTCATTTTCAATCACACGTTATTCCACTAAAAATAATTTTACACGTAGATCCATAAATTTTTCATACTTCACAATCACACATACTTCAAAGAAATCATTTTTCACAATATTTTCAAAATATCTCCAAGGACATAACATATCGTAAAGAGCCTTACTTAGCTCCACTAAAATTAGTTTTCAGGGAAAAATGCATTTTGGCATAGTGATTTTTCGAAGGATGTATGATTAAAAAAGAAGGAAATTTTTTATTTACGTGTAATATTATTTTATTGAAGAATGCGTTATTAAAATGAAAAAGAAAAAAATGCATTAAAATTAAAATTGATCCCAAACATGGCATTATCAAATCGGTTAGACCACCGAAAAAGTGGAAAAGGATTAATAAAAGGAAAAGGTCAGTATAAGTTGGCAACCTGAAGGAATCATTGACCAAGATGTCTGTCTCTGTCCCTGCGCCGTACCATGTGCTCTCCTCTCCTAAATTCTCTGGTTCACATTTCAGAATAATGTGTTTGAATAATTAGTAATTATGATTAAAATATCAAAATAAAAAAAGAGGGAATTACAAGAAATTTGTTCAATGTCCATTTAGCAATATTTTAGACCAAAATATCCTTGTTAATAATTTATAATTTCACGCTAAAGACAAATATGTGAATACAATTAAATATTTTGTTGGCCAATAAAATTTTGACACATAATATACTCTACTTATTTCAAAAGTATACGTATTAAATCACAATAAAATATCGAGAACTACATTTCAAATGTCAAAAACTTTATGAAATGTAGAGAATTCTCATTTTTTTTGAATGAAATCTCGTTCTAGATAAATGAAGTATCAAGATGAATATGGTTCAATTATCTATAACAACTTTTAAAATATTGAGAACGTCATTTCAATGTAACTTCTCATGAAAGTTATTTTTTCTTCTCGAAATTCGTGGCAAATTGAAAAAAAAAAATTGATTCATTTTTCGTTAAGGGTATAATAGGCAATTTAATACTAAATTTGGCTATTTTTGCAAGAGTTGTCAAAATTAGACACTTTTTAATTGACAAGCATGGAATTAGCCATTTTTGTAAATTTCCCATAAATTAAGAACCGTTTGGTCATCGTTAAAATTATAATTCATTTTTTTCTCACTTTTAATCAATCACACAATCTTCAAAAAAATAATATTATACGTAGGGATTGTTTGATGGAGATTAAAATTAATTTTTAGTAAATTTTGATAAAATTTAATGAAATATGTGGTTGAAAAATTGTGAGACAAATAAAATATATGATTAATATTGAACGTTTTAACTTAGATTAAAAATTTGGTAACAGGGTCAGAATTCCAATTTCTTTTTTTTTCCTTTTTAATTCTACTGAACTGCAAATGAAGCCGTGATGTTTGAATTGGAAACTTTGTATTCTTGTCTGTATCTCTTACCAATAATAATAATAATAATTTAACATACAGACATGCCAACTTGTTTTTTCAATTTCTGGAAATGAAATACAAAATGCTGTTTCGATCAAGCACATCCACGGGGAGCAAACCCGACCAGTGAATTTGCCAGGTCGAACACCACCCGGAAGCTCTGCTGCTGGATATTTCCAATAATCGTCATTCCGCTTCTTGTACCAGCAAATGCGAAGCAAAATCTTCCTTCAGTATCCACCGGAATCAAGTAATTAGACGCCGGTAATGACACATCAGCATTTGTAAAATGCAGCACCACCGTCGGAACCTTCACTTCAGTCTTACCTGAGAGATCGAAACACGTATCGAATAGGGAGTAATCCTGAGCCCGTTTGAAATTCGAAGTTCCGGCACGGAAAGCATCTCTCAGTGCAATATAAGCGGGTCGATTTAACCGGGTCACGGACGTGCCGGAGTCCACAATCACCCCTCCGTTACCGTAAGGGTCCAACTTAAACAGTGACGGAGTAAGTCCAGCTACTCGAGTCCCACCAACTGAAATTCCATTAAGCCCCACGTAATAAAACGTGTCGAGCTTTGGATTGGTTAAAAGAGGGGTAAAAACGGCATTTTTTGTCGGCGCCGCTGATTTTCCGAAAACAATTGACGACGGTCTAGACGAAGCAGACCGGTCTACTAAGCAGTAAGAGAATTTGTTCCCGAAACGGCGACCGGCCTGACCCGGAAAAGACAATTTTCCTCGTCCTAGACCCAATAAACCGGCAGCTCCGATGAATAAGCCCTCGTTATCATGGCCACATCCTATGGCTATATTTTTAACTCGGTTTCGGCCAAAAGTAAGTGTTTCGGTGGAGAAGTCACCGACGGTGAAGGAACCGTCGCCATAGGAGACTTGGTAGAGGCATCTCTGGCGGTTGTTGCAGCCTGGGGAGTCGAGCCGCCGGCAGAGGGGAGAGTCACACGAGACTCCAAGATAGGAGGATGATTTTGTAGGGTCAAAAACCGGGTCTGACTGGGAATAGCACTTCTTGCACGGGGAGCACTGGAGCCACACGATGTCGCTTCCGGTATCCAGCACCATGTAAGCAAACTTGGCTGGAGTCCCTATCCCCAGACGAGTGAAATACTCGCCGCTTCCCTGCGTGAGCCCCGAAACTACCGAGCTGCTGAAGTCCCCTTTACCCCTAGAAACATTACCAACAGCGATGGCGGCGATTGTCGTCAGAGCTTTGACTCTAACAGCGTCACGTTGGAGGCGGATCTTGAAGAGATATTCTGGGGTTGAATTCAAAGCAGAAGGTGAAAGATTGTCCACATGGTGCAAATCTACTGACAGACTGTTCGAATAAGGCTCCGTTGCAGATTCCGAGTCGGATCCGGTGCCGGTTTTCTCGTTGTCCCAAGAAAGAGACTGGGGTTTAGGGAGAGAATTGAGGACTAAAGACTGGTACTGCAATGCAGAGGACGAGGAGATGGATATGGAAATGGCTAAGAAGGTAAAGAAAAAGACAGTGTGAACGGATTTGGGCTTTCCGTTACCTTTCATTTTGAGAGAGGAAGATGAAGAAGATAGAGAGTGAATTTAGACGGTGGCTTCGGGAATATAAATAAACGGTATAGAGAGAAGAAAAGGTGACTATGTGTGTGTGGGAAACTGTGACTGTGTTAAAGGTTTTGGTTCAGTCTTCAGTGGTTCAATTAAAGTTAAATCCTATTTTAAATTTTTTAATTTATTTATCGAATAATTTGGTAAAATTTATTAGAATAAAATCACTAATTTAAATAAAACAACCTGCTTGTAAGATTCTTAATGAATGATTTTACTTATAATGAAAAATGACAATCTAGTAATTATTAATATTTAACTGTTAATTATTTTTAAAAATTAAGGAGTAATAAATATGGAGTTTTATAATTTATTACGTATTTATGTAAAGTGAAAGGAGTAGGTCTTCAATGGATAAGCAATTTATTTGCTTTTGTAGGTAAACATTATTGCTATCAATTAATGTTTTCAGCAGACCTTACGAGCGTGTTTGGAACACATTTTTTTGAAAGGACGTATCATTGAATAGTAGATTGATAAAGAATGTGTGGTTAAGAATGAAGGAAAAGTTATTGATGTGATGGAAAATATTATTTTATTGAAAAATGTGTTAAAAATGAGTAGAAGAATGAGAATAAAAAAAATAATGCTCACCAGCCATTTGGTACAAATTTTAATTTTTTTTAGAAGAACTTCTTGGGAAAAATTGCCTATAGCCACTTGAAAAGGGTTGCCACGTAATCATTAAAGGTGTACTTGACACCTAACGTCTTTATTTTTCATTATTACGAAAAATATCGTTTTCTTTCATTTTTTTTATATTTTCACCCTTATTTCTACATCTTCATTGTGCAAAAGTAGTGATGACAAAAAAACCCGTCCCGCTCCGGCTCGACGTTGCCCTGCCCCAAATGAGGAGAAAAAACCCACCCCAACGAGTTAGCGGGACGGGGCGGGTACAACGTCCCCAACCCGCCCCGTGAAGAATAAAAAAAATAATTAACTACAAATTAAAAACAAAAAATAGTTAATTGAAAGTTTTTGAAAAAAAAAAATAAACGGGGTAAGCCCGCGCCCCGAACTCGCCCCGTTTAAGGTGGGGCGAGGAGCGAGGCGAGCACCCTCGCCCTGAACTCGCCATGTTGCCTCTCTACGCCAAAGGTCATTATTATTCATTTTCTCAATTAAAAGATATAAAATGACTAATATACCATTTAGATTTAAATAAAACAAAAAGAAACAAAAAATGCTAATTGCAATCGTTGTCCCTTTTTTTTTCTTTTTTTAAATGAGTCACAAATAAATTATTAAAAAAATAACATATAGTGCTTGTTTGGGAGGGATTTTTGGGGGAAGAATTGATTTTGAATAGCGATATGATGAGAAATGTGTGGTTGAAAAAGAA